TTTATTTTCTGTTTAGTATCGTTGTTTTTGTTTATAAAAATTTGTAGCCGGTTTTATGAAAGCATCTGAATTTGGTCTTTAAGATTGATAACAAAGGCATTGGGGGAGAGAATCGACAGCAACCCATTTCCCATCTTTGATCACTTGAAGGCCAGTCACTCCCTCTGTCTGCTTGAGTACTGTGAGTGCATTGAGATCAGTATGGATAGCTAGTCCAAGTGTGACCTCAGGGTCTGGACATGGTGGATGGTAGTTTCCCTGTGCTTTCAGAGTAGGATTATCATCCAGCTTCTTTTGTAAGCAGTCCTTCTCTAGTCCAAGCCCCTGGGATAGCAATCCCAAGAGCGTTTTCATCAATCTGCCATTCTCCTTTGCATATTCAGCAAAAACCTCAGTAACAAAACGACAAACAAAAGGGAAATTAATACACAGAATTAGAATAAAGTTACAAACTTTTAATTAAATATAGAACTCGACGGCACTGAAGGGACTATAAGATGTGTATGAATTATGGTTTTAGTGCTCATTTATTGACATCTTAGTACTCTATTTCCTATAGTTTAGATTAGTTTAAAGTAGAATATATCGCTCATATTAAAAAGGAAAAAAAATTATCCTGGTACCCGTATTGGGGAGGATTTTCAGGCAAGGAATTAAGAGGATGCCAAAGATGTGAGAAGGTTTCACTCCACATAGTGACCTTTTGCTCTTGCCCTTCAACTTTGAGGTAGAAATTGAAAAGCTTTACTTGCTTGGAGTGATCAGTGGTGAAGTATTTTGCCCTTTCTTCAGGAGGCAATTTGAAGAACTGGGCCATGGCAGTCATCATTCTATTGCAGAGTTCCTCAGGTACTCCATGGTTGATGATCTGGAAAAATCCATACTCCTCACAAGCTCGTGAGATCTTCTGAACCAATGGGGATGGTCCATCGCAGTTATTGCTGCTGCCTTGGTCGTGTTAGGAGTATAATGGAGAATGTGATGTATTGGGTTGTTGACACTTGTCACAATCCTAGATTAGTTAGTTAGCTATATTGATTAGATTGATGAGATTGGGGTATTGAGATATAAAACTGAAGTTGTAGAGCAGAGTGCTTATTATTCTAAATAGGAATAACAAAATACAGATTGTTCTCTCTCCCTCTCGTTTCTTTGTCTCTTCTACCTTCTTCTTCAACTATCTTAACATGGTATCATCGCCGAATAAGCTTCGTTGCAAGCTTTTTCGATCATTGGTTCTTTGCTTCCGCTACCTATTTCTTTCTTCTACGATCTCTCTGTGATTTCTTTTCTGATTTTCTGGGTTGTGATTCTTACCAATTCCTACGTTCTGTATTCTGCAAGTTCTTGCGCATCAGGTGTTTGTTTTTTGTTCTCAAAGAAAACTGATCAACCAGGTGTTTATTTTTTCATCCGTTTCAACATCGGTTTCAGTCAAGTTGAATGAGCTAAATACCGACAACATGGTTTCCGCTCGTTTCTTCTATACTTCAATCGATTTCTTGTTTGATTTCTTGATTCTTGATCAAGATTCAATTTTTTTTCTCTGCTGTATTTGCAATAACTTCTCGATTTTTCTGCTCGGTTCCCTCAGTTTGATTTGTCTGTAACAAATTTGGGGTTTCTCTTCTAAATCTCTGTTTGGGTTGTTCATTTCTACAACAAAAGTTATGGTTACAGCTGCACAATTGCAACTTTTGCAACCCTTAATTGTATCGTTGCTTACGTCTGTTTCTTTCTCTGTTTGTGTAAAATTAGATGACACCAACTACTTGCAGTGGCATTTTCTGATGAAGATGATGCTACAAGGTCATGGCCTATTGGGATTCATTGATGGATCGAATCCTTGTCCTCCTCAGTATTCAGCAACCTTTACACATTCTGTAATCACATATTAGTCATCTGCCAGACCAGAATTAGATGAATTTAAAGTGTGGAAAATGCATGATTAAGCTTTGATGTTGTTACTTACTGCAACACTTTCTTCATCTGCAATTTCTTGTGTGATTGGTAACAAGAGTTATCAAGAGATGTGGGTTCGTCTTCAAAACGAATTTTTCTTACCAATCACAAGAACTAGTATCATCAAGTTAAAGTCTGATCTGTATAACATTAAGAAAGGATTTGATTCAATTTCCCAGTATCTTCGAAGAATTAAAAAAAGCAAGAGATGCACTTTCTATTCTTGGTGTTACATTTCCTAATGAAGACATTGTGATCATTGCCTTGAATAAACTCCATGTAGATACAACACATTTAAATGTGTAATAAAAAGGCGTGAGAATGTCATTTCACTCAAGGATTTTCGTGCACATCTGCTCACTGAGGAAGCCATTGTGGATTGTGTTCCTGTGCCACATTTCTTGTCTGCTATGGTATCTAAATCTGAGACAAAAGGTTCTTCCTTTCCTCTCTCTAGCTCTCATTTTCATGCTAGTCAATCAAGTAATATACATGGTAATAGTGTTACTGGTTACAATGGTGGCTATCATGCTCAATCCAATTGTAATTTAGGCCAATCTAGCTATGATAATGGGGCTTACAATGGTTATATTTTTGGTCAGTCGAGCAATGGTAAAAATGCCGGTGGTTATAATGGTGCTTATAGGAATTTTCAGTCCAAGAATTGTGGTAAAGGTCGGTTTCGTTATAAATAATGGTGAAAGATTTAATATCTACAAGTCTTTTCCTCAATTTTCACTAAGAGTTCTTGGCTCACCTCCATCTCCATATCTTAATTCTCTACCACCTGAATTTCCTACACATCAAATTTGTTCACAGAAAGATCATTTTGATGCTACTCAATCTTTAGTTTCAACTCCTGAATTATGTCAATGCACATTGGATCAACAACTTAAACTAGTGTGTCCAGTCATCCTGCAAAATCATGAAACACCTTTACTGAGCAATTATAATGTTGACATTCACACAGCTTATGATCGCAAGTGTGGTTCTCTCTCTCACTTCATTATTTCAGAAGATGAAATGTTTTTAACTGATGCAGAAAAACAAGTTTTGG